GCTGGGTGACATCTTTTCATGGAGACACCTTGTTTCAGATGAACAGTTTTGATTTTCCAGTTTTCCTGGTCAATCTCACCAATCTATTGTCCCTAGTTCCTCAGTCAACACACAGACACACACACTCACTCTCTGTGTGTCTGTCTGTGTGTCTGTGTGTATCTGTCTGTCTGTCTCTCTCCCTCTCTCTCTCAGCAGGAAGGTGGGTGTCCCCAGCCCACACTGGCTGGGGCAGGGCATGATCACAGAGCTGTGGGCCACATGTCACTCAACAACACTCACCTGAACCATAGAGAGCCTGACACAACTGTATAACGTGGAAGTGGCTGAACTCGATTTACTGCCTCAAAGAAGCAGCCCACATCCGCACAGCCACTCTGTTGTTTGTGAAGACTGGTGTCCACCCCATTCTAAATTCTAAATTCCATCCAAATTCTAAAGTCCATGTACCCTCTGTAGGTCACAGGTGAGCTACCTACTGCCCTCTGGCTGGGCCTACTCTGGTTTCCAAGGGAATAAACCACCTGGGTCCCATCCCTTAGCAAAGGGATGGCTAAGTGCAATGGGAACCTCTTGTGTATAGATCTGAATGTTTTCCTTTGGGAATTCTGTGAGCAAACAAAATGATTTATGGAGCCAATTCAAATAAACCAAACCAAAACACAGAGGCTCAGAGGACAGACTACAATGGAAACAAATAACTCAAAGTAATTTCTCAGTGTTTTAGTCATCTCCAGAGGTTTGAGTGGGTGTGGTCATTGGTCCCTCTGAGGTCTTGGCTGTTTCCTGTATGCCAACCTGGAGTTACTATGGGAGGGTGGCAGACTTCTCTGGAGGCTGTGCTGTACTGGACAGGCTTGGTGGATCAGGAACTAACTTCTTCACTTTGAAAGTGAGTTCTGTCCTTTCTATAAAATAGGAGTGACTCTTATCATGGGCTCTAGCACCTAGATAGCTCTTCCTGAACACATTAAATTATAGAAAATGCCTGCTCAGTTCCAAACCCAGGAACACACACAAACTAAAGATACCTTATCACAGGCCAAGGATTTTTCTGGTTTCTACAACCCCCTCGCTCTACTTTCCCTTTCCCTCGGCAACTCCTCAGTTTCCCCTAGTGCCAAGTGAGATCAAATGTGAGCCCATAAATCAGCCAATGAGAAAGAGCTCAGCTGCTCCTCCCACATTCAGGATAAAAAGGGAGACCCTTCTTTGTCCTGTACACCTGCTAACCTCATTGTTAACATGTGCTTGGGTCCTTTTGCAAAAGTGAAAGCCTCATCAAGATTTCTTGATGTCTAGATGCTTCATTATCTGTACCAACAAATTGAGTCTGGGGGCTCATTTCCAACAATTTTTGGAGCCCAACATGGGGCCCCAGCCCACTAAGGCATGAAGACTTCCACCAAAAGATACATCCCATGGTCTTGTTGCAGTGCCCTTTGGGACGAGAACTGGAGCCTGTGGACTGAGGACCCAATAAAGACTTCCAACAACCCTGAAGGGCCCAAAGGGAGTCAATCACAACTAGGCAAGTTTGTGCATGAACCAAGGTAAGAAGTCATGGGGGTGATAGGATCTTGCTTTGGTAATTGGGTTATTCTAGCCCTGCTCCAGGACAGTCTCAGATAAGATTGAGATGTGACTGAGATTGTGACAGTCTTGGGTGAGATGTGACCTTGGGCGAGACCAAGGTGATTTCAGGTGAAATTGAAAATAAACAATTGTGAGACATCTCAGCATCTGGAGATTGAGCCTCTGGTTTGGGGACAAACAGAATGGGAAATTTTGTGCTTCTCAATCAGTGAAGGGTGGAAAGCCAAGGGGCTCCAGGAATAAAATACCATGATAGTCTCCTCAGACTGATGGTAAGGACTTTGGACAACCTATGGACAATACCCAAAAAGCTCAGATGATAAAATATTGTTGTTTCCTAGCCTGATGGTGTATGCCTGTGATATCAGTACTCAGGAGGCTAAGGCAAGATCACTTTGAGTTCAAGATCAGCCTGGTTGCATAATGAGTTTGAGGCTAGCCTGAACTACACAGGGAGACCCAGTCTCAGATAGAAAAGTAAATCAAAAGAATAAAATGTTGTTTCATTTGGCCACAAACTCCCATCTTCATTCCATTTGTCTTCTGGTCGAAGCTTAGATCGGATGAGGACTGGGTTTATCAGTTGTTGATTAAATATGTTAATGATAAAGACGCATCTCATAGGTTATTCTCTATGCTAGCAACAAGACTAATGGTCTTCTTTTCCCTAAGAATACTCAGGGACTTAATAAAAACCAAATGGATTCCCCTCTGGCCCTCCATACCCATGGAGTCCCTGACCCCAGCCTCTAACACCCAACACTTAGGACCAGCAGCTCCAACTCAATAGGAGTTGGTGCCAACCAAGGAAGACCCAGTCTCTGGCACAGTGATGACAGCCAAACAAAGACTGACTGACTTGATCCTGGGTGGGAAAAAAAAAAAAAAAAAAAACAAAAACTAAATAAAATTTAAAGGTAAAAATGTGCCAAAATGATATCCAAAATCAATCTTTTTCTCAAAGACTAAAAGGGGGCTCAATTTCCCTTTCCCTTGAGGAAATTTCTGGATGAGGGAGAAGTTGGGTTACAACTTAGCTAATCAATAAATTTACTTAACCCTTAGCTAATCAATAAATTTAGTTTTGGCTTCCAATTTAAGTTGATATTTTTGTTAATATACTTGAAACATTTATGGCCTGTAAATTTTTTTTTGTACATATTTTTTATTTTTAACATCCAGAGTGTGTGATGTAAGGGCCAGAGCTTTCCCCAAGACACAATTTTATAAATTCTCAATTGGCTGATGAGGCCAGTAGGGATACTTCTTGTCTAATTTGGTTTCTGGGAAGGCTTCATTCAAGTTCTCAATGGTCATCTGATCAAACGGAATCATGTTACTTATTTTCTCCAGCTGTTTCTCATATTTCACAATCCGGGCCTTTGAAAGAGACACAAACTCAGCACAACTTTTTACATCTTCCTTTTCATCAGCATCCACCAGGGCAGTACATTTATCCTCTGGCACAAGTTTTCAGGGCATTAAACTTCTTTTCACAGTCACCCACCAAGCCTGCCTTGGTCACCTTGGCCTTGTAGTAAGCCCAGTTAATCACTGGTAGTTTCTCAGACAGAACACCCAACTTGGTGCTGAGGGTCTCAGTCCAGGCCTTCAGAGAGTTAGCAACAGCCTTTTGGTTTCTGGGTATGATCTCTCCAAAAGCTACCCAGTCAATGGCTTTCAGAGCAAGTTTGCGTCCAGCCATCTTGGGATCCTTCACCGACCCAGTGAAGCTCAGTCTGGCCTGTAAATTCTTAAACTACAATTACAGGGTTAAGTTGCTCTTCTCCCTGCTTTACACAGGGGAGGGAACTGTGGCCAAATGAGATGACAGAAGTAACACTTGACATTGGATTCAGTTATTGGAAACCTATTAATTATGGTCAGGTAAGTCGGAACAATTGGATACCCTGCAGATCTACTTATTTCAACTGTATATGTTATAACACCTAAATACAGGTCAAATATTCCTAGTTCCCTAGGAATAGTTACACCTGCAGTGAGCTAGGCTGGGGTAGAGTGCTTTGAAGAAATGTAAAATATCTCCATAATTCTGTACACTGCATGTTGAAATGCTAGTTTGGATATATTGGGATGAACACAGTGTATCATAAAGTTAATTTTATCTTCTTAGAAGGATTCCTAGAAAACAAAAACTGATGCCGGAGGCCACATGGTGACTCGATTGACAATGCCGTTACACAGTGAGATCTGAAGCCAAGGACTCCAGTGCCACCTACTGGACACATACACTGTAAGGGGAGGGGGTGACTAGAAACCAGTTGCTCATAGCTCCCAGGGCACATCTGACTTCATGTTGTTCATGGCCCCACTGCAGTCCCCTAGCAGTTCATCAACGGGAGTCCATGTCAGCACCCGTGCTACTCCCAGGGCAGGGCTTCCCGATGCCTGGTGGCCTCTGCTCCTTCCTCCTACCCCATCTGCCTCTCATGTCCTCTTCCCATCTTCCCCACATCATCTATTCAGTGTTTGCCTCCTCCTTTCCCTACCTTCCTTTTCATTCCAAGTCTAATGATCATATTTTTGTGTCCCACTGTGCTTTGTCTCTTCTTTCCCTAGCGTATACAGCTGTTTCAGATGGTTTTGTTGCCTTAACCCTTACTTTGAGGTCTCCGTCTATTGGGTGTTGGAGTCTGTACACTGTCAGGAAAAGCTGGGAGCTCCTGCTTCTTCCTGGGAGGTGACAGGCATCCTGGAGACACGGCTTTCCTCTATGGAGCTAGTGCCCTTTCGGACAGCTGCCTGATGAGGAATGTGGGTTTCTCTCTTCCTTTACCCTGCATGGTGGCTCCAGAAAAGCCACAGGACCATGTCTGTAGGATGTCTTGAAATCATGAAGCAAGTCCCAGCTTTGTTCCTGAGTTTTAGGATCAGTCTATCCATTTCTGCAAACCAGACAGCTAGGTTAGCAGGTTTAGGGTGTATTTATTTAGTTATCAGCCTGGGGAGGTCTGTAACAGAATGACAAAGTCTAGCACTTTGCCCTTGCACTGAAGCTCAGGACAGCATGACTCCCTGCTGCCTCTCTGGATTATGGAGGTGTTGCTCCACCTGGTCTCTTGCTGCCTGATGGGACTGTGTCCCACACCTCCACCCTGGAGGCCCCAGAATTGAGGTCCTTCTGCCTCCATGCAAGGCCCTCTAAGCCCCTGCTCCCCTACCTTGCTAAAAGCTGAGCTTTAGGAATGAAGCCTCCACCTGCCTGTATGGGTAGAGGAGTGAAACAGATCCCTTGACCCCAAGCCAGGGTATGGGGTGACAAGAGACAGGCCCAAGGCTCCGCAGCATCATTTTATAGCACAGGAATAGAGCAAAGAGACTGTACTGCACCAGCAAGGACATGGCAGCAAGGAGCTGAGGACCCCTGACTGCAGGGCAGGATGAAGGCCCGCTCACCCCGGAGCCCCACTGTCCCCTACTGCACCCACAGTACAAGTGGAGTCAGCATGCCTCCAGGGTCATGTCACTTGCTTATAGTATGAGATCATCTCATCCAGGGTTGCAAAAGTGACTGTGGGGGCCTGAGGCTGGCCTCCAGGTGCAGGTGATGATGGCACATGTACAGAGCAGGGCTCCTGGCCCTGGCCCGCCTGCTGCCCTGGGCTGCTTGCTACCGGCCTGGGTCTGCTCCATGTCTGGCTTCCTGAAGACCCCACTCTTTTCTGACCCATGAAGTAATCCGAAGGTGGGGCAAACTCAGGGTCTCGCTCAGCCCGGAGAGCTGACTGCCTCTTGGACCACTGTCCAAAGGAAAACTCTAGAGAAAATGAGAAACAGTAGCATTAGAACTCATTCATGAACTGATTATACTTACATATTTCTTTCTTTTTTTTTTATTTTTGGTTTTGGACTTTTGAGGCATAGTCTTACTATAGCCCAGGCTGGCCTTGAACTCACTATGTGGCCCAGGTTGGTCTCAAACTCATAGTGATCCTCCTATCTCAATCTCCCCAGTGCTGGGATAATAAGCATGTGCTACCATGCCCAGCCAAACTTACAGATTTCTTAAAAAACCCCAGAAGAGCTACCAGGAAGGCTTCCACATCCTCCAGAGTTCTCTGGAGAACAAGCATAGCACCAAGAAAATCCCATCACAAACTATATAAGCAATACCTGGAAAAATCGTGAAACCATGCTATGAAGAGAAGTGTTTACTTCCCAACAGGGAGAGATCAGAGCAGAGCTTTGAGGAGAGGGCTGGCAGGCTTAGGAGCAATGCCAAGAAAGCACTCAAATGAACTAGAGAGAGGATGAAAAGTGAAGCAGTCACATCATTCGCATGACGTATCACCGTTGGCTGTGTCCTTGGCAGAATTTTGGAAGATGCCAGAAGACCTGTCCAGATCTAAGTGGTGTTTATTTCGTCTCCACTTGTTATCGTGGCCCGGTATTTGCCTTTTGGGTCTTATCAGGTCGAGCGACATGTGCTCAGGTCCCACTGAAATGAACCCTGGAAGACGGCATGAACCAGCCTTCCAGAGAGGTTGCTGGGGGCTCCATGGTGAACTCAGAGGGAAGCTGTGCATCCCACAGGGGCACAGGTAGGTGACTGGCCCATCCTCACTTAGCTGAAGAAATGTCTCCACACAGCTCTCAGCACCCCAACTATGAGGCTCTACCTGGCTGTAACAGGCAGTCTATGACACCACACAGGAGGAAATCTCCCCCAAGAGCACACAGAGCCTAAGGTGCCAGAGAACCCAGAGAAACCTGAGGTTTCCGGAAGCCTCTAAGAACCACTCAGGACATCCCTCCCCACCCCCACAGCTGATCCCTTTCCATGAGCAGGGAGACTAATGGTATTAGTGGTAAGCCCCCAACGATCACTCCTGCCTGGTGGGCTGGGGATGGCTCAGTGCTGGCGCCTGCCTAGCACGCATGAGGCCCTGGGTCCCTGCAGCACGGAAAGCAGGCATACAGGGGACACTGGGAAGAAGCCCCTGCTATAGCCCTCACCTTTCCCTCGATCCCACTCCCGTATGTGAGGCACCCCAGGCCGGGTATCCCTCCTCTCCTGGGTGATGACCTCTACTCTGCTGTTCTGGGGTGGAGGTGGAGTCGGCACAGGCTCAGGTTCTGGTGGCAAAGGTCCAACAGCATGCCCATCTATGTTTGTAGGAAAGAAGATCTTATTAGAACACAAATGTCAAATGTGCTAAGCATGGAAATAAAGGAAACAATAACCAGCCTTTACAGAAAGGCCATCACTCCCCAGGTCACAGGTTCTCTCAGTACCATGTATACAGCAGGTCATCTCAGTGCAGTAAGATAAAGGAATTCAGTGTTCCCACTTCACTGATGAGACGATTCATCCCAGGGACATGGGCAGCAGATGCTGGGGGCAGGGACAGGACCCATGCTGCCCACACCCCCTCTGCTTCTCCACCCACAGCAGGAGAATCACTCAGTGAGTGACAATGGAAGATGAAGCACAAGGAGCCAGGTGACACAGGCTGCAGCCTGCTGTGGGCTATTCCATTTGGGCTATATTTTATAATTTTTAAATAAATGGTTTTCTGGATAACACTTTATGTGGCAGCTCTCATTTTCTGGGAAAGAAATGTGCCAGACAGAAGAGATACCAGGAAGGCTTCCACATCCTAGAGCTGGCATTTATGTGACACTAGAGACATCTTTCTACTTCCTTATCTTTCCTGGATCTTTTTAAAGCTAGACCCAGCTTGGCCCAGGGGTGGGGGGTGCTGCAGCTGCAGCGAAGCCATCTCTGTCCCTATACTCTGGCTCCCTCATCCCTGGGAACAGAACGCCTGCCCCTAGCTTCAGTTGGTTGTGTGGCCTCCTTACTGGGAGGCCATTTACCAGCTTCCCCTGCAGCTGGGCACAGCTGTGGACCTGAGCTCAGCCAATGGGGGAACAGGACTGTAGTAACCTCAGACTTCCCTACCTATGAGCACAGAGGTTCCAGCGCTTCCCCCGGGCAGGGTCAGCAGCAGGTGCCATGGGGCGGGCATCAGCCATGAGATGACACCAATGCTTGAAAGAATCAGGGACTACTCAGGGAGAGCTGGCTGCCCCAGGTGCACCCCCACCGACCTGCTCTGATGTGTGACAGAGAAGCCAACGCTCCTCCCCTCGGCAGTCCCCTTGTCAGGGCAGCTCAGCTTCACCGACCTCAGGCGAGCTCACAGAGCGCAGTGCTCACAGGGCTCCCAAGGGGACTTGGACCACGTGCAGAAACCAAAGCTGTAATGTACCTTTGCTTTCTTCTGTCCCATCTTCTTTTGATGTTTTCATCTTTTTTTGTTGAAGTTTGGCAAGTCTTGCTTCTAATATGGCCTTTCAATTCTCCTTTATGTTTTCTCATTTTGTTCTCTGATCTGTTGTCTAAACAGAACAGAAAGTTAAAAATTATTTCCTTAAAGCCAAATTCATAATATGTTTGTTCAAAATGTTAAAATTTCTTCTAAACACAGATTTTTTTTTAACGTTTTATTTATTTGGTACAGGTGCTCGCTACATAGTTGGACTCATAGTGATCCTCCTGTCTTAGCCTCCCCAGAGCTGGGATTACAGGCCTGCACCACCATGCCTTGGTTTTGGCGGCTGGCATGGCACAGGGCTGGCAGGGCATGTCGTACTGGGGACTGAACCTGTATCCTTGTGCTTGCCAGGCAGGTGCTTAGACTGCCGAGCTAACTCTCCAGCAGCACACTGATTTTCCTAGCACCACTAAGAGGTTATCTTTGAGACCCTGAAAATGAAGACCTATGAGGCACTCTATGCCGGCCCCTGACGTCTTAGGAAGTCTAGAGCACCCTGGAACCCTTGGGTTTCAAGAAGACCATCCACTCTGGCATGGAGTATAATCCTAGCACTGGGAGGCTGAGGCAGGAGGACTGCAAATGTGAGCCCAGCTTGAGAAACCTAGCAACTTATCGAGATGCTATACCAAAACAAAAAATAAAAAAGACTGAACTGTGATTCAATGTGAAGTTTCTGGGTTCAATCTGTAGGACCACCAAAAACAAAAAAGACAGCGATAGACAGAAGAACACAAAAAAGAAAAAGGAGAGGGAACAAAGAGAAGAAAGGGAAAGAAGGAAGCAAAAGAAAAGAAAGATATCCAATTTTCTTCCTTAACCTGTAAAATAACTTTCTGTTTTCTCCTAGCTACCTCAAGGTGGAAAGCAGATGTTAGATATAGGTTACTTCTGAAACAGTTCTAATTTTACATTTTGAAATACCAAAATAATGGCAATCACCTTTATTAGATGTAATTTTATGTTTTGTTTAGTTTTTTTTTTTTAAGCCAGGGTCTCGCTATATAATCCAGGCTGGCCTTTTTAACTCTGTGCAGCCCAGGTTGGCCCCCAACTCATGGCAATCCTTCTGCCTCCATCTCCCAAGTAACCACAGGTGTGTATGCACCCCAACACCTAGCATTTTAAAAAAAAATTATTTTTTAATGTATTTAATACAGGGTCTCATTATACAATTTGGACTCATAGTGATCCTCCTGTTATTAGCCTCCCAAGCGCTGGGATTGTTGGTACCACAACGCCCAATCTTAATTACTGGCTTGGTGAGCCCTGGGGTGGGGCTGGCATAGCATGGCACGCTGGGGATCCAACCATGATCCCTGCATCTGCCTAAGCAGGCACTTTAATCTGCCGAGCTATCTGGCTGGCCATTACAAAGGCATTTTGAGAAGCAATTTAAATTCCTAATTTAACTCAGAGAACCGCTCAGTCCTGCTCAGCCCCTCATCCCACCTCCTCTGATCGAGCTCGAGTACCTGCTCCCGCAGCATCTCCAGGGTTTTCATTTGCTTGTTTCTCAGCTCTTTGTCTTGGGCAAAGGCAAAATATCCAACACCAAGTTGC